TCCACCCGAATCAGGCGGTACCTTGCCAATTATGAACACCATAATTTCGACCTTTTGGTAATCCGGGAGATGAACGGTGAAATTACCCATCGTGTTGATCAGAATTTCCTGATATGTTTTCTCCGCTTCGGATGTATCTTCAGCGGCGGCGCCCGAGGATTCAAGTTCAACCGACTGCCGTAGATGCCGCAGCATACTGTTGAAAATCTCCAACAGACATGGCCCAATACTTGCTGATGCGGCGATGACCACCAGTCGAGAAAGAGCAGTCGCGATGCCGATCCTCACCTAAATTTACGTAGACAAAAATACTTTTAATATGCCAAAACAGTTTTCGAAGGAAAAGAAAAATTCTTCCTTCCAAGAATAAGTTCGGCATAAATTCAGCATTTGATTCACTTAAATCAATTCAATTTACCGTCTGAGGGATGAAATAAGCAAGACGTTTTACACATCGACATTCAAGAAAACAGCAAGTACATTATGTCATGAAAAGTAAACAAGCAAAATGACGGTGGTGCCTGCATAGATGTAACAACCCTTCCATTAGTCCCACCATCTGCTACTGAAAAGTCGATGAGCGGAATCACTGAACTGTGATGTTGATTCCTTGTCAAGCGCAACAGATATACGATGAAATATGAACAAACACAGAACAACTGCTAAGAGGGAGTCGATTACTTAACGTACAGAACTTAATACAATAGCAATCAAGCACTGACGGGTCTCCTCGATCTTTGTGTCCTTAATCCTTAAGGCACATCAGTCTATGAGAAAGAAACGCATTTTCAAAGCACCGTTTAGGAGCATGCTAAAAATCCTTCATTTACATAAGATATTTATTAAAAGCTTTCTAACGACTTTCTCATGTCTTTTTGGTACTGAGCCCTGAATAGGAAAGATTTAATACAAATTGATAAACAGCAGAGATGTGAATCACGCCACGTATCCGATTAGGACCGATCTGTTTCATAGATATGTGAAGATCTATTGGTCATCGATTACCAATGCATCACTGTTTCTTGCTTATTCTATTTGATTTCTCAAAAGCGGCAATTTTACTTTAGTTCTAGTCCATGTCGATCTGACACACATGTCTCGATGTCTCTATTCAAACAGTACAACTGCTCAACCAGTTTTGTTAGAACCGACGG